ACCACTCTTCCAATAATTTCGTTGTTTTGCGGTGAATAAAATCTATTATAGAGTGAAATTTTTGTATGAATAAACAGAAAAATATTTATTATTTTAAGATCTCAACAAGAAGATAATTAAGAAAGTTTTAAATCGGAGATCTTCATCTATCGCTCAGAGCTATTTGAGAAGGCTCAATTATAAATCGAATTTTTCCTAAGGATTTCAATGATGACAAATGAATCTCGCATACACATTGCGTAAAATTTCTATTTTCTTTATTTCTCATCCTAAGGCCTTATGAATTTATCAATGATTTTAAAATAAATAAATACGCATAAATTCTAGGAAATGTGTCGCTTATTCTTGAATTAAGAACATCTGCAGAAGTGCAAAAAAATTCTCTAGGAAAATGCTACATGCGATTTTAATGAATTTCAATGAGTCTATTAGTTAAAAGAATATGGTGCTTATGGACTATTGTTATATATTTTATAGCAGTTCAATGCGATCGGTTATAATCTAATTTTAATAGGTCTTCCTTGCCCATTTGTAATTTTTTCAGCAATCCAAGAAGTAATTGAATTTCAAGCGACACACGATGTTTAAAAGGCGAGTTAATTCTTGGAGGCAATAAAATGCGAGTGCTCTAATATGAAAACACTAATTTTCTAAGCCGTGGTACTTCTCAAATAGAGGTAAATGAGGATCATTTAAAACTTACTTATAGCCTGAAGTCAAAAAACAACATTTACGACCAATACATAAAACTATTCGGTTTCTTCATTGAATAATCTGCGATATTAGCACATCCTTGCATTTGCGTAATAAAGTCATAGTAGATGAAAGTGGAACAACGAATTAAATTGCTCATCGGCATCTTTCTGAATCCGCGAAATAGTTATTCAAATAGACTCTATGGATATATCTGAATAACCTTTGACCTTTTTTCAGAGTTATTAGTTCCTACTTATGAATTCCGACGATTTTCAAATGAGCCGATAAGACTAGGAAATCATTGCATGGCGTCTAAACTTCATCATCTTCACCTATGTGAAAAATTACATTTTTTGCTTGTGCTTAGAACTGCTCTTCTCATATTATCTTTTCATGGTGCTTAATATTATTATCCCTTTTAATTAACGAATTTATATAAAATAAAGTTTTTTCTAAAAAAGGTGAAATTCTAAAGAGTTCCAGTGAAGATTCTATACTCTGCTAGAAAGCCACAGAGTTCGGTGTTTCCTCGATTAAGATCAAATCACAACTTCAATTTCAGTTCTTCAGCGGGGATTTTAGATATAACTATTATAGTTACGCAAATTGGACTTATGTAAAGAGTCTGCTTAAAGCCAATAGAGCTTCCGAATCAATTTCACGATGAAAAATGGAACCAGTGGGAGATGTTTCCTTCAATCTTTTGACAGATGAAATTCATGATAACTTTGATAATAAGCTAATATTAAGCTAAACAATTCATACACATACGATTAAGATTAAACAATTATTTGTTATTTTTTATTAACAATTAACAATTATTTTTATTTTTATTTTATTCTGATTTGATACGAAAATAAGATGATAATGGGATAGAATGATTGAAAAAATGATTCTAAGGAGTACAATGACGACAAGTTAATCTACAAACTCTGCTCATTACAACTGCATAGTCGCCTATATTGCAATACCGGGCATTCGCTTGACATTGAGGGTGTAGATCGGTACAAGTTGACGAAGTTGAATTACCTGAAATGCAAAAGGTCTTGGTTAGATTTTTGAATATATGCCTAAATACAAATAATAAATTTTAAATGATTTGCTATTATCTGAAAATATTCTTTAGCCATCGATGACTACAATATTTACAGCAGAAAATATATCTTGTGATGCGAAACTCGAAAATCAACCTGGTAAGCAATCCGTTAGTCTACATGTCTTCTTGCAAGACCTCTTCATGAAATCCGTACTGCATGTAGGGTCCAAATGTAAAATAGCCGCACAATTTTCGTTCTCATCTGGACACATTCCAGCAGCACCTGGTCTGTGACAAAGGCCACATGTAAATGGGCACATCGATAGCGCTACGCTAGGTACAGTTAAGCAAATATTTCGATCCAACCTTCGGCATGCATCGGGGTTGACTGAAAGGAAAAATGAAACTCCTATGATTTACTTACTCTCTTTAAAGTTGAAAATAAAGGAAAACGACTAACCATCGTGACAGTTAAATTCCTTCGTTTTACAGCACATGGCACATGTTCTAGGGCATGTTTTTGCTGCGAAATCCTTAATCTTATTGCACAGTTCGGGAATCTTATAATGTTCACTCCTATAACAGATTATTGATAAGGCGCTTCTTTTCGTTTTTTTTTACCACCAGTCACTATTTCTACTCTGTTTTCTCCAATTCATCACGTATTCATCTGGGACAAAAATGTGAAGGGTGGGGGCACATTAATATAATCTTCAGTTTCATTTCGTTCATGGGTTGGAAATCGAATCGATTTATCACTCGTCTCACCAGTTCTCTCATATTTGAAACGAAACGCTTCTGAGGAGATAGAGGCGTAAATAGGACTATTTATTATAGAAATTATTA